GCTTTTTATAAGGTAAAAATAATAAAACAAGGTCTTTGTCTGCAATGATTAGACATGTTTTTTTATTATTGTCATTAGTGATTATCTCAATTTTGGCTAAAAGAATTGAGAAAATCCTACACACTGTGCCTTTAAGGCTAAAATGCAAACTATCTCTTCCTCCTCATCCTTGACATCATGACTGAAATTGTGAGAAATTAAAGAGTTTGTCAGGCGGTCAGTTCGCTCGAGTATGAAGTCTCAATCGTCCATGGACAATATGCGCAGAGCGTACGGCTCACGGACTGCAAACAGTACGCCCGAGTATGTGAGAGCCTGAAGTGTTGATGTTTGCATTTGATTATTTCGGAATGGAACAGCCTTTGCTGTTGGTGCTCGGCTCTTGTTACAGCATCATCATCCTGATTCCTGGGACAAAAACAACCGCTAATGTTGCTAACATTGCTAACGCTGCTAACTCTGCTAATGCTTCCCTATAAGACGTCAAACTTGCAATTGCGGCCAGAGTCTGAGCTGCACTTCAAACTGCTGGACCACAGGTACCATCCATCTTGTTTTCAATTAACACGTTTTGAACTAAATTTTAAGCATTAGCAGCGTTAGCAGTGGCTTTTGTTGAATGATGATGTCACAACAAAAGTCCAGCACCAACAGCAAAGGCTGTGCTCCATTACAAATTAATTCTTAAGCGTAAGCTTTATCATTTAGCCACAACATTTAAGAATTGTTTTTTTTATTCATATTTGCATATTTAGGTTAGTGGATTTTGTTTTTTCAAAACTAAGATTTTRCACTTAGAAGGTGAGCTAAATAATGCAAATGTGTTGGTGACATTTTTTAACATTTTATTTGACACTTGGTGCCCCACAGAGAGAAGAAGGTTTGAAGGTGCTGGGAGGAAAAGACTTTGGGCCAAGGAGGTGTGTCTATCTATGTGAGGTGGGAAACATCATGACCAGTCCTAAAATTCTACTTATTTATCAACCATTACTCTACTTTCTACTGTCATGTAAACGGATTTCCCTTTATCTTTTTACGCGGGGCAATTGAGGATAGTTGCAGCTTTTGCACTTTTACCTCGGCTTTCAGGATGTAATTTGCTCATAAAGTAATCCTGGCTGAAAACAACACATGCACACATGGGTGCATCTGTGTCCTGAGACAAATTCTTACATAACTACTGATGTCCTTCATTAGAACCCGCATTAGACTGATTCATAAATGGAAACAATCCGATGCACAGCTGTAACGTTTGTTTAGCAGAGCGCCTCTCCACCCGTTTGGAGCTGACATGATAATACGAGAAGCTATTCCATTTGCTGCAGCAGTGATGATGATGATAAGATGAAGTGATGGATGTAATTAAAAGCGGTTATGAAACACTGCCTCTGTTTCATCGTTCTTGTGGTTTTCATTGACCGTGGTGTGATTTTTAAGGAGTGTTTTTTTTTCTGTCAGTTTCTTCCTGCAAATTCCTCAAAAACGGGACAAGAGCAAAGTAAGAGAGATACGAGCTGCCAGTCTTCCTCACATATGCGCACAGTTACGCAAACACAAAGACTGTCCTTGTGTGACAGGCTGTAATTAGTCACAGCCCAGGGTTTTACTGTGACCTTTTTCTTTTTCTGCTTTCTAAGGTCTCCTCTGAAGCACCAGCCTCTAAAGTTTTTTTTCTCAGTTTACACCAGGCCAAGGATTTGCATTCTTGGTTTCAAACATGTTATTTTATAACTGACTGCTTGTTTCAATCATTATTCATTTTTGCTTGGCGTTGGTGCATAAAACAACTCATCCAAAGTTGAAACGAGTTCTTAATTATGGTGTTGATTGAAGCATCCAAATGTGGTTGACTTGTAAATGCTGTTTTAAATACTTGCATTCCAGTGATTAAGCTGTGTACAGATAAAAAGAAACATGGATTGGTTTTCTTGTAGAAACCAATTAAAGCAGTAATAAATCACCTCGCTTTGTTGTGCAGATTGCGTTCAGGAGTTTAGCATTTAGAATGGCTCTGATAAAGTCCACACTGCCAATTGACTTTTGAACCAAAGCAGATTTGCATAGATTTGGCACTCTTTTTGCAACTCTTTTTGTCAAAAAACTAATTTGAGCATTAAACATATCCAGCATCTTACAAAGCTCAGAAGTTTACGAAATTCCGTAGTAAAAGGTGTAATAAAAGGTGTAATAAAAACAACTCATGGCAAACCCAAATATTCGTAGATAAAAATAAAATACGCACAGACGACAATGACGAATTTTTGACGACAATGCACATCTACTGAAGCTTTAAAGTCACTACCTACATCCTCTATCCAAGCCAGCACAATTTATTCTTTATGTTTCTTCTTCTGGCTTCATAAAATAATTGCAGTTACATCCGCCGTCGTTTACGAAGTTTACGAAACTTACGAAATTTACTTAGGGTAACAAAAACAAAACAAAACAAAAAAACAATTCATGATTGGCAAACCAGTTTACTTTGATAAATTGGTTTGGTAATGGACTGTAGGGCCCAATATACTCAATCCAAAGCCAAACAGTCAACATGCATTTATGTGGTTGTTTGGTGTTTTTGCACACACCTTTCTTTCATAGCCCCTGAGACGCCATGTCAAGCTCCTGGGAAACCCTTCCCACCCTGGTACACGTCATGTCCCCGTTAAAGTGCCACAGTTTTTGGCAGACAGATTCCTCTGTGCACAACATCTGTTTTATCTCTATCCATGAGTTTTTGGCCATTCGACTATATCTTTAAATGTCTGCTTCCGGGTACAACAGTCGGATTCTGGAAGCAAGTAGTAAAAGCAAAATGAAGCATCTGAGCACTTTCAGATTAAACAAACGCCCACAAACTTCTGACCAGTCACACAATAATGTCTTGTAGGGGGGGTAAAAAGTTGTCTGGTTGTTACAAGGAGTGGAAGATTAAAGCTAATTTTCATCATGCAACTGTGACAGTGTGAGCCTATTTCGGCAGTTTGATTGGACTATGTGGAAGCCTTGTCTTCTCTGTTGGTCTGCCATTGTTAAGCAACCTTTAGTCCAAGCCTGTGATTACCTCCCACCGACACCCAAACAACAGGCATAAAACACCCTCTGTGTCAGGACACCGCTGGTTCTTCGTCACTGCAGAACTTTTTTAAAACTTCCCAAGTAGACTGCGCTTTAATTGAATTGATGATGCAATCCGATAGCTTGAATGTCAAGCAGAGATGGGCACTGAAAGCAATCACGCTCTGTAATAAGAGAAGGGATCGATGCAGAGTGTAGGAACTCTGGTTGTAATGGACATCAGTGGGCTGCGCCTTGGCACAGACCACATAAAAAACTAAAAGCTGAAGAACTGCCAAGTGCTCCAAACATCCATTAGCTTCCAATCAAACCAAGTTTGTTCAAAATCTAAGGCTTCACTTACAGCACCCTGTAGGTACCGTAGAACAACTTCTTCCCAGTGAAGAAGCCAGATTATATAGCAGCAGAAGATAAAATCTACTTAAGCATAAAAATGCAATCTTGAACTCATTTTCTGTTTTGTGCCTTCGTCACACTTTCAAACATTTGTCCGTCTGGCCGCAGCGCTGCTTTCCTCTCCTTCGCTGTGCCTCTTTCTTAAGAGTGAGGAGAATGGCCTCATACGTCTCGAAATGTCACTTCACTCCTGTCAGCAGGTTGATGTATGAGAACCGAAGCGGCCAGTGCTGAAACAGCAGACCCCACACAGATCCACTCAGAACTGATAGATGACACAAGCATTAAGTCCAGAGTCACGTCAGATGAACAATACGGGAGGCGATGACCTGCAGCTGCAGAAATCACACTTTTCGTCTCTGAGAGAACTCATTTATTAAAAGGTAATTTTTTGCAGCTTGAATGTAGAAAAATGGTCAGCACGGAGCTCCTTTCATCACTAACGAAACATTTCTTCTTTACAAACTGAGAGCCATTGATTAAGCTGTTTGCTGCTTTTTTTATGCTGGAAACTTGATTTGTGCCAGCAAGGGGAAACAACACATGAATTATTGATCCAATATAAAAGCTCATCAACTGCTGCTGCTGTGCCTTTGCTGTAGTTTCATCGGGAGTATTAAAGGGCGCTCTCAAATAGTTTTCTTTTTCCTATTTATGAACCCTGTCTGTTAAATTGAATCAGAGTTTTCTGTCTTTTTACACTGGGGCACCTCTGATACTACAACATTAGAGGACATCTGTTGACACCCAGTTGTTTGGGTTTGTTTTTGATTTATAGATTACATTTTTTTGCATCGGTAGTGGGTACTTCCCTTTTAATGTGTCTTTTTCAATCGGTGGACTGAAACCAGCTTGGCGATACGTCTGCCAGATGACCCTTCTGCAGAGCGTGCAGCACCCCACCCCCTTCTTGTGTCTGCTGACTAAAGCTTTGGTACATTGTGGTTGTCTGAAGGGGAAAAAACAGAGTAAAGATTATCATGGCATGTGTGAGTGGGGTATTAACTATGAGAAAGGGGTTTACATTATAATATAACACAGCGAATCATTGCTGAATGCAACTCTTTGGGGTGATCAAGGGGCCAATTCCTCCCTTATAATTAGTGACAGATGTCCCTCTTCTCATCTTACATGACTTTAATTTCCTTTCTCACACATGTTGTAGCCTGATGTTCCCAGAAGCCTTTTGGGAACCTCTGGGATGCCGTCCCAGATACTGTTAACCAAATTCCCACCCCTCCTTGGTCCAAGCCAGCCCTCCTCTCTCTCTCTCCTCTCTCACAGTTGGCCTGGGATCCGTCCCGCTCTTATGAAACATCTGGCAGGTTTTAAACTTAACTCATAGTCTGTAAAGTGATGATGCTGTTGCTTGGTGTCAGCTGAACTGGGCTCAGACTCGCAGGGCTTCGCCTTGAAGGTGTTGTCTGCATCTTTGTCTGCTCTGCATTATCCTGCTGAGAATTGGTTCTGGAGGATTGTGTCCATCTGCTAAATGGGATTACTTGGAAGCGAGAGACACAGGACGGCTAGAAAGAAGGAAAACAGGGTTTGTCTTGCAGCAGATCAGCAGAAAAGTGAAATCAAACCCTCAGCAGGAGTTATGCAGTGTGTGTGCTGAATATTAAACACACTGTGTAAGAGCAGCCTTTCTTTTTCTCAATTTTTTAAGTTTGAGTCCTTAAGCTTCCCACTGCAATATGACATTCAAAAGAAGCTTTGTTCAAGTAAACCTTTAATATTTCCTTATATTATTATAATTATTATTAAAGTTATTAGATTAGGCGGAGGCTCTCTGTGTTTGGGGTCTCGTGTCCCCCTCAGTCCTCCCTCCCCCTGACAACTTGGGGCCCAGACATTGTTGGACAGAAGTAGGTCAAAGTTTAGTGGAGCGTCCTGTCTGAACAGGAGGACTGGAAGGATGGAGGGGGGTTAAAGGGTATCGCTTAGTGCCGGAAAACAGCTTTGTTATGGGGCCGCATTTCATTTTATACTAAAACACAACAGATCAAAACTTATAATAGTCAAAGAAGTTACATCTAATGCAAAAGTTACCTTTAAGTTAGTTTTATTGTTTTGTGATATTAATAATGCTAATACTATTGATATTTTTCTAATTTTGATCTAAATTTGCTTGTTTATCGTTATCACAGTTGCTAGGTGACAGCACGTACGCCAGGGGAAGGACGGGAGGCTAGATCGTCCAAATTCACAGGTTCTTTTTTCCGGTCTTCCCGGTCTACGAAGGACCCGGCCCACCTCGACCGGGTAGTCTGGGTCCTCCGGAGGACCCGGCCTGTCGTTTTGGACACAGCTTACCTGTCCAGTTGTCCTCCTCCTACAACGCTGTTATTGCAAGTATGACTCAGCCCACTGTGAGCAAAAGGTGTGAATTAGGGCCTCAATGATACCAACACAAAGAGGGAAAGAGAGACAAAAACAAGGGGACGTTGAACCCCGCTTGCACTCACTACATACACATAACACAACACCAAATAACCACAGCCGAAGCATCCAAACCAATAAGTCAGGTGATGGGGCACATGACCCTCTATGAACAATAGAGTTAATCAAGCCTATTGTTAGGCGATGGCCCTCTTTTGCATGTGACTAACTTGTTTGTCCACCATGTGGAGGCAGTGCTTATAAGGCTGAGTTCACCTGAAACTCATCAGACTGAAGAAGTCTCTTGGAGGAGAGACGAAACGTTTTACTAAAGAAGAACCCATCCTGAGGACATACTTGTTTTTTCTTTTTGAGTTTTTCTACCTGGATTACTGAGATGCATCAGGACAGTATAGCAAAACTTTACTACCAGCTAGAGCTAGACATTCTATTGTTTGAGCATTGTCATCCGCAATAGTCACATTGCAGGTCCTGCAATGTAGAAGACAAATAAAATCAACTCATCTAGGGATTAAACCACTAAACCATAACTCATTATGGTTAAACAGTCGTGTTACAGCTTTTATGACGAGCAAATTCACAGGGGACTGGAGGAAAAGAGGTGAAATATGGTTAGCATGAACGGTGATTTAAAAAATGACGGAAACAAAAACTAAGATAGTAATAAAATGCAATTTATGTTTGCACATGATAGAAGGAAGGTGTGCAGCCATAAAAAATTAAAATTTCCAAACATAAAGAGAAAAAAAATGTGGTTGTTCATTTTAACCCTGAGATAAAAGGTAAAACAGCTGTTCAGTGTGGGACTTTAACTCAGGTGATCTGGGGATAATTTATGTGTGTGTGCTGCTAATCTCCCCACTTCCTTCAAGTATCTTCTTTTCCACACAAGTCTTATTAAAGGATAATGGCCTGCTGAGCCCCCTGGGAGATGGGAAATAGCTCCAGACACATCTATTGAAGTGATAAGGAGTGATAACATCTATTTAACGGTCATGCGATAATCGAATCAGGTGGTTTGACACGATATTACTACTGTTATTAAAAAAAGGCTTCATAATACTTTGTTTACTTCCTGTCTTACGTAACGATGCTTTTCATAATCTAACCTTAATGTGAGGGTAAAGTAAAAAAGGAAGACGTTTTATTTTTCCAGTATCAACCTCAAAATGAAATAACGACTTACATAAAAACCCATCTACTGCGTCTCAGACCTGGACTGACTTCCGACATGCCAGGAATTACTGACGTGCAAAATTTGAACTATAGTGTGAATCCTCTGTCAAAGATCAAACAGAAAGATTAAGGTGGAGACCAAGCGGTTTGCAGGGAGAGCAGCAGCAGATGCAGGGATGAACAGATGAAATGAGGCCACTGTCATCCTGTCTCATTTACTATGCAGGGTTGGGAGGGGATTAGCCTCACTTACATAACTTCATACCCCCCCATTAACTAGCCTGTTTCCCCCCTTCTCTTTCCCCAAAAGCACACTCATAATCTTAAAAAGAAAAGCAGGGAGATTGGTGTTGCCCTATTTGCGTTTTCGACTTTTATCTTTCTACAAAACATAAACTTGTTTTGAAGACAGGAGGAGGCTGAAAATAGTCGGATCATTAGAACGATGAGAGGATTGGGGGAGGAACAAACATCAGGAATCGAAAGACAACAAAACAGACTTTTATTCCCAGCTGTGGTAATAAAGTGCAGATGAAGCAGAAGGGAAAGAGGAAAAAAAGAAGATAGCGGATTGTTGGGGGGATGAGATGATCTATTTATAGTTTATCCCCTGCTGTTGGGTTAGACCGCTTGCCCCATTGCAGCACAACTCCGATTTTATGTCAGTTATCATGTTGGACTACATTAGCTCCATGCAAACACATAGAAAGGTGCACACACACGTTACTAACCTGAGGGGGTTAACCTGGGAATGCTGACCTTTGCCACAAAGTAGAGAAAATCACACATCAACACGTGTGAGAGAGATAGGGAGGTATGTAAAGTAACAGGAAAAAAGCTGCTTCCTTTTATTTTAAATTAATTCACCTCTTCTTGGGTTTAAATTAATCATCACCCCTTGTCCTCAAGCTCTCTTTTGTTCTTGACTCATTTGCATATTGGTGCACTTCCTCTTTAGGTCCTCTCATTTGTACACTGAAAGGCAGGTGAATACATGGGTGAACTTCCTACCTGTGGATTTACCTTCAGGCTGACTCTGGGGACTCGAGTTGTTTAGATTTGATTGTGTTTTTAGTTATGGAGATCCACAACTAATTAGTGTTATATTATAATGATGACCCAGTTGGCAGATATTTCATAAACTTCTAATTCCAATCTAAAACTGATTATCTTTTGTAGGTAATCTTATTCAAGATGGTTGCCTCAGCTAAGCAACCTTAGTAAACACAAAATGATAATGACTCAGCCTATTCTGGATATATGTCAGGCTAATATTTGGTGTGTTGGTAACTGTCATTCCCAAAACATACTAATTAATCATGCAAGTTTTGAATAATTTACCATTACCTATTAAAGTCAAATTTTAGCGTTTGTTAGCAAAATAACTGATGAACCACTGGACAGATTTAGGTAAAACTCAGCAATTAATCATTAGATGTACATCTAAAACTAATGAACATTTGGAGATGACTATTGCACATGTATGTTTTTGACTCTAGGGAGGGTTAATGTTAGTTTAGCATCTTTCCTACCCACAGCTATCACCATCTACAATAAGCCTTTAGTTAAATGAATTACTACAACATTTAATTACACTTTGGGATCAGTTGGGTCCAAGTATTGTTGAATTGAATTGAATTGAATTGAATTGAATTGAATTAGCATTAGCTCCATGTTAGCATAAGTTCCGCGCTACGACTAAGGCTGTGTCTCAGTTCATGGGTTGCAGCTGACGTTGGCCATGCCATAGGCCGTAGGCTGTCCCAATTTGTAGGTGCCTACTCATGTGGCCGACAAATTCAGCCAATAAAACCCTGAACATATCGGCTGCATCTGAGTATACTACATAATTCATTGCGGTGTCAATAAATTAAACAGAAAAAACAAAGACTGTGGAGGTTTTATTTTAATTTTATGGCAGATTTTTTTTCTTTTTCTTTTAATGACTGAGTTTGAAAATTCATCACAAACTGAAGAATGCAAGTTAAACAACTTAACTGAAGAAACCTTTGTAGCAATGAGATGTTAAATAAAATGCAGCTACAAAATAGAAGCCAAACCCAATTATTAATGCTTTTAATTAATTTACTTGTTAAGTTTTTCTATTAAAACTGAATTTTGTGAAGTTATACCTTGAAAAAACAACTGAAGCAATGTGAAATAAAACGTATCATCATGGTAGCGAGGCAGCGCATGTTCATGCAAACATACGTCTTCCGTAGACTAGACTATCACATTTCACAGTCGTTTATGCAGCCAACATAAGAAGCCTACGGCCCACGTAGACTGCGGCCAATGTCGGCCGCAGTCTACGTTGGCTGCAACCCATGAACTGAGGCACAGCTGAAGTCAGTAATTGCACAGATATTCTATGCGCTGACTCATCTTTCGAGTATGGCTGGGCGATTATTTGATCGTGATTATTGATCGAGAAAAAATTCAGGTCGATCACGGTGATCAGCTGTGAGACTCTTACTCAATCAAACATGGCGGAAATGTGCGTGACAACAGCCACTCAGAATCCACCTTCTCCTACTCCACTTCCATTTAAAAGTTGCTAATGAAACGCAGACGGAATTGCAGAATTAACCAAAGCAATCCAGTATAAAACGCTGAACATCACAGAGTTCGCTTATTTGGGCGAGTTTCTGAGGTATTTTGGCCACTGTTGGTTCCTGTACCTGCTTTACCTGCTAACAGGCGCGCAGGGTGAGCTCTGAGGGTAGAAAAGTGAGCCGTGATGCACGTCTCGCTAAAATAAAAACGTTCTCCAAAAATAAGAAGCAGTCTTGGGGTAAAGTTTAGGTTAGAACTAGGGGTCGACCGATACATCGGCCGGCCGATATTTTTGCCCGATATTCACGTTTTTCCTTTGTATCGGTATCGGCCGATACGCGCCTGCTCTGGCCGATCCAGCAGCCATGCTCTGGGCTCACGTGCGCGCATCCATTACAGCTCCCTCCCAGGTGGAGAGCGGGTGGTGATTTGTGAGACAGAGCACAAATAACAACAAAGGTAAGTTTTCAACTTTTAACTTATTTTAACTGTCTGATTTAGCTGTATCTTAACTCTGTTTCAGACTATGAGGGGGAGAAAAGAGAACAGAGGTGTTTTAAGTTTCTATTTTGAGGAAGAGGTGATATCAACGA